ATTGCCACGCTGTTTTTAGTATGTTTCAGCACTCTAACCAGTCAATCAATCAACGTCGACGTGGAGCTCGAGTTCAACTGGTATGTTTACTCACATCGACCACATAGCAGTAAGCTACCGTTGTCGTGGCTCAGTGCAAAATTGCAGGTCTTATCGGCCCACCTGCGTTGAGTCTGACCACACATTAGTTCTGATGCAGTTCACTCTCCGACCGACTGGTCGACGACAAAACCAGCAAACTCGGATAGCTCATCATCGACTATCTGTTCCAGCAGTTCGTGCATACTTTGAATTAGAGCTAGTGCATGAGCTAAGTGCGCCTCAAAGTGATGATGTAGATAAGCAGTGGGATCAGATTAAGCGAGCAATGCATTACGTAGAGAATATTACTCATTGGTCTGAGCCTCAAGCCTGTCGGAGGCATTAGATATCTCATGATTCAGTATCCCTGATGTAAAAAATGATAAATTCCCACCTTCCAGGATCAAAACAGGGTTAGGCGGGTTCTGCAACGTCATCTCACGAAAAACATCATGAAGGACCGTGAGAACTGATGGCAACAATAGCTAGTAAAATGGAAGTAGGAGCTGCATCAGAAAATCGTCAAAGAGTGTTCCGACTGATACGCGATACGGGAGGTCGCGAACTCCAGTTGGTGAAACAGTTTGCGACAGAAGGTGACGAGCCATTCTTAATAGGGATCAACGACTTGATCGCTGGGTGGAATACTTCAGCGATAGTTTCAGCTTGCCTAGTCCTAGCCAAATTACTTCTTCTACAACTGAAGCTCCGTGGACAGTGACTTGTGATCCTCCAGCAGAAGTAGAAGTTTGGTCTTACATTCAAGCTCCGAAGCGAGGAAAGGCAGCTGAACCAGATGAGCACCTTCCCACTCTTTTCAAGATGAGGGGGAGGGGTAACATCGTAAGCTCTATTACTACCTTACTGCACAACATTTGGATGCAAAAGCGCATTCGTTCACCTTGAGGCAAATCACTGATCGTTCTCATTTTTAAGAAAGGATCTCACAGCGATTGCGAAAACCACCGTGGGATCAGTTTGATCCTGAGCGTCACCAAAGTGCTAGCCTCGGTCATACTTCGACGTCTGATTTCTTTAAGAGAGACCAACATCCGTGAACAGCAAGCCGGATTCCGGCCTGACCGTGGATGTATTGATCAAATTTTTACGTTGCACCAGGTCCTTGAGCTGCGTCACACCCACCGCCGACCAACGATCGCGGTGTTCTTTGGCCTGAAAGAAGGCTTTGACTCAGTTGAACGTGTAGGTCTGATGAGTGCCGTTCTTTGAAAAGAAATGCCCCAGAAGTATGTCAACTCGTTTAGGTCACTTCATTACCATACCTCCGATTGAGTGGGGGGTTACAACGAACTAAGTAGATCATTCGTCACCAGCAGCGTCGTTCGTCAAAGGTCCCTTATTTCGCCATTCCTGTTCAATTTCGTGATAGACGGAATTCCGGAGAACGCACCAAGTGGTCTTCAAAACGTAGGTATTGAATGAGCAGCTGGAGAAAAACTGTGCTATTTGAAGTACGCCAATTATATCATCTCTCTGTTCGAATGTTTGGAGGATGCGCAAAACTTACTCGATAGACTGACAAGTGTTGTTGCCACATTCAGTATGTGCTTTGCACCTTCAAAACGCGAAGTGATCCTGCAGGACTGGGTGTCGCCTTCTCCCGCTCTGAAACTGAATGACTAGGAATTAGTTACCGTGGATTACTTTTCCTACTTAGGTAGCTGCGTAACCAATGACGGTAGCGCAGCAAAAGAGATAACCGCCCGCATTTTTGAGGCTCGAGCAGCATACGTAGAACTGAAATATCTTTGGCGTAGACGCGAAATTTCACTGAAGTTGAAAGGTCATGTGCCACCGTTCGTTCAGTTCTGCTTTATGGTTGTGAGACCTTGAATTCGCGATTAGGAGATATCCGTCGACTAGAAGCTTTCGATTATCGATGTTTACGCAGTTTAGCCCACGTTGGATGGAGCGAACGGGTTAGTAACGTGGAGGTAAGCCGTAGTGTGTTCGGGAGTCTACCAGGGATGAACCTGGTAGCACAGCGAATTCAGATTAATAAACCTCGCTGGCTAGGACACGTATTGCGTAGGCCCAGCTACCATCTACCACCTCGAGCCTTATTCGCTGTACCCACTCCCGGCTGAAAGAAACCACGTGAAGGTCAACATATGACATGGAGACGAGGCATGAAGAAATGCACAGAACCATCCGGTAGAGTAGGTGTCCCTCGCCTTCCAGGTTGGCATCCGAAAGACTCCACAACTGGTTGGTTGAAGACATCGAAGGATATGGCAGCGAACCGACAGCAGTGGCGTTCTTGTTGTCATTTCTTATCAGGTCAGAATGCTTGAAGTGGGATGTATGCACAATTAGATTGTGTGCTGTAAGTGCTGACCATAGAGTTGCACCTTCTTCCCTCTACCTCAAAATGCGTCCTATCCCTGTTCGCCTTGAATATTACCTCTAACCTTGTATTTGTTGCGAGTTTATCAGCGATCAGTGACGTTTGCTTTGCTTTATTTCGCTGCACGATGATGATGATGATGATGATGATGATGATGATGATGATGATGATGATCAATCAATCAATTTTGTGTGATTGTTTTATCAACTAACTAAATCATTGTTGAGAGCTTCGGTGCCCTTGTGAAACTGTCTACGATGACCGTCTTTCCCGACGTTCAACTAACAACTACCCACGTTTCTTCACAGTCCGTCTTTGGACGTTACCTGCTGAATGTGGCATTTTTTGTCGGTTACGATGACGTGTCCTTCCACTTAGACCACCTTCTATGGGACATCGGTGGCGTCCAAAACTGGATTTATGATCATGATCTTCTTATCGATACGTCTGACATCACATATCTTTGCATTCTTTCTTCTGAAAGATAACAATTACTTGGCACTTCCTTCTGCGATGCTGTGAAAAATATCCAGATATTGCTCTACTTAATATTACGGCGATGGTCAAGTGTTTAAGTTCGTCAAATAGCCTCCTGGATGTCCTGAGTTCCAGCCTCGTCACCGCCGCCCATCTTCTTCATTTCCCCAGGCAGCTTTTGTGTGGCTGTGACCTCTCCTCCTCCCCTTGAAATTTGACAACACCCTTGTAGACTCAATAAAAACGGAATCAAAAGCCTTTACAAAGAAACGTATATTGTCTAGTCAGTGTAATTCAGCTTGTGTGAGGGTAAGGAAACTCATTTAATGTCATGCATCTCAAGTTTCTTCCATTTCCTCTATTTATGATCAAATACTTTGTGTTCATTTGCTCTCGGCTACTCTGACAGTAACTATCCCCATTGGATTTTTCGGGTCTTATCCCAAAGAAATTAAAACTTTCCAATATAATATTGGTCGAGTTCACCCATCCACATCATTCTGATTCATTCCATTGCCCCCTGTTTCTTTCATGCGCAAACTCCTCGATTTCGAGGTGTTCTATCGCAACCGACTATGTGGAAACTGAATACACGTCCCGATCAAACTCGTGAGACCTGGTACTTATTCTGTGAATATATGTTTACTGTTGTACTGGCTCACATCAATGTCCATATATGAAAAGCGTTCATTGACCTTTCACTGAAAGTAAATGATGGTCCTGTAACGATATCTAAGTTAGCAGTTTCGATTCTCGGCAAATGCATTTATTTGCCTTGCTTTCCAGATAATTTACGGCAATTTACGAATACCATGGTTGATTAATTATCTTGTATGAGTAGAATTTCCCTCGTTCAACTTTGGATCAGGCTTTAACCAGGTTTCTCATGAGGCTCTGAGCTAAACAAAGCTAATCGAGAAATTAGAGAAATGAACGCGGGGGGGGGAGTGGTGGATAAAGATTGCAGCGGTGAAATCAAACCAGCCGCTTCTGAATTGTTGCTCTGATGAATTATGCCACTGGACTGCCTCCGGTCACATGCACCTACGAGAAAGTGCAATACTTACTACGTGTCAAATAGTGAAACACTAGTTCATAACGGTTACTATCATATCGTATTAACAAACTAGAAATTAATACTTGTGTGAGATGATAATTCGCTCAGAATGAAGCTATCCAGGGAGCTAACAGGATAATAATATTATGCATTATAAAATTTATTCGAAATGACTTGAGTGTAACTTTCTCATATAGGTTTCAACATGAAACTCCTGGGCGGATGACCAACTAGAACAATAATAATAAAATAATGTCTTTTTACTTCCTTTTTTATTAAATGAATATACAGGTGTACATTCAGCATTCGGGAAGGAAGGCCACGGCCATACAAAGGCTGGGAAAATACAGAAATACGGAAGACGGGCGGCGGTGGAGCGGTCTTAACCCGGGACTCCCAGGTCATAATTTGGTGTTGTCTGAAAGTCACGTTTACGCACAAACCCCGGGTCATCCGATCAACCATGCAGTCGGGAAACATCACAAATACGAGTTTTGCTCTCGTTAACGCTCATCAGTAGTGAATGTTCACCTACCCATCCGGCATTTTAACCCTGGACCACTAGAACGAAACATGTGTGTATACATGTTTGTTGCACGACTTTGTCAACCAGCTCACATTGGGGGTTGGTAAGCATTGCCAGTGACAGTTAGTCATAATATTCGTCCCGTTATCTTCGTAAGAATACAAGATAAACTATCTGTAACTACTAACTAAAAGCCTCCCAAGAAGGTTCAGGTTTCGATCATGCCTGCCCGACTTCAATTTGTATTATTACTCTCAGTTATTTGTGAGTCGTGTTAACTTTCGAATAATTATCTGTTTTCTTTTGACGAAGGCCACGTTTACGATGTATCTTTTGTACTCAAACTTTATTTTTCTATCATTCAACTCTAAAACAAATGGTGACAATTCACACATCAAATCTCAAATAAAAATTCATCATTGATGAATACAGATTAAAAAATTGCTTGATATGCTGACTACAAAGCGATGTGAGCATTATAGTGATGAATAAAACATGAACGCTTCCACATTTAGCGTCTCTGAATTAAACTGTACCAGTTATTAGAAACTTCCCTGTTTAAAAACCAGAATCCATCGTTTGTTCTGTAGCCAGTTCACTGGCGACAATTGTTTTTATCAGAATTATCGTCTCCACAAAAATGGATATGATTTATTTGATCCAACCTGAATCACCGGGCATTATGGTAGTTCGGTTTTCTCATCTTCATATTAAATTCCTTAATTTCTTATTACACAAACTTCCAATAAGCTGAAAGGAATTTGAAGATGACTATCTATTTTATGTCTACCGTAACTCGCATTTCCAGTGTGATTACCTAAGTACTTTATGAACTCCCCCCACCCCCAAGGATGAACACCCTGGTTACATATTATCGGACAGAGTTTCTATAGCTATATATTGTGTCACAATAATTGTGTGCCTCTGTGAACCATGACTTACCATTCGCCGGTTCAATCGGTCTCACGGACAGAGACCGCGCGCGTGTTTGTATTGTCGCGTCTGGGGTTGGTGGTTTCGAAGTTTCCTCAACCAGAGCACCCAAATCGATAACATAGATTTCTGGTTCGTTGGTCTAAAATGGACACACAGAGACAAAGAGAGTGTGTGTGTGAGCGTAAACTGGCAAATCCGAGCCCATACTGTGAACTGAGCGATTGTTCTATGTGATCATCTACCCGGGCTGACTTACTGCGGAACGATCACGTGTTTTCTTCTCAATTTTTTAAAACCACTGTTCACGCGAAAGCTAATCAAATCACTTGTGGGCTCAATTTCATTTGGCAGCAACGTGTTTTTGCAGTGTCACGATCACCTTAACAGTCAACCATAATTTGAACTCAAAACCATAGATAATTGAGAACAATCGAATTTCTTGATAGTTTGCATGGCTACGGTGAAAATTAGTTGAGACAACTGATATGCTTTCTTATGAGGCGAATTTCTGAAACGGAACCATTTTTTCATTTGAATCCAAGCCTATATAATAGCCCACTGTGAGAATTTTCTGGGAGCACATTTGAATGAGTGTGACCCACACGTCGGGGTCATGGAGTTGTGTTTACCCGATTTGAAACGCCCTTCCTGCTACACAGTTCATTTCTGATGTTGTTGCTAAACAGCTTATGGATAATTTTAGAAGGGCATATTTTCTAATATGACGTCACTTAAATGAAAAAGACAACATTCTTGTCTTCCGCCACTGATTGACCGTCGGTTTCTGAAGTTTTTCTGAGCTCGGACCGACGAGAACGGTTTGTCTGAGTTTATCTACGTCATTCATCATTTATCAGCCTCATCATTCTAAATCAATTTCTTCCCACCACCTAGGGTTTGCAGGCAAATTTTCAAACAAGTTTTTTAGTTTACAAAACCGGTTTCCACCAAGTATTAATAGACGGGGTGGAATGGTGAGAAGGCGACTCATCATTTAATTTCAGCGTCGCCATAATATGACAAACCACTTTTTGATTACTCAAATGAATCAAGTAGCAGGCTCATCATCAGTTTGATATTGCGCTCACCCTCAATCTGGGACGCCACTGTGAATAATTGAGTGGCGATGATAAAGGCGATTGAGGTCACTAGGGGTCCCGTGTTCAAACCTCAAACCTTAACTATACCATTTTACTTGTAAACCATGGCGGCCCGCTAACTGATTGTCTTTCCTCAAGTGAAAAATTGTTTTTAGGATTAGGTATTTGATGAAAAGAGGGTAAATCGCAGAGTTATTCTCCATTTAAAGTCAGTGGTAACGACTGGGGGTTCCATTTATATGTATTGTTGACGTGAGACCAACCGACAATGCCAGTTCGTATAGCCTCATATCTGTGCATGCTCGGTTTCCAGCCCTCACAGGCTCGGTGAATATGCTCCGTTCATGCATCTAAACAAGATTGAAATAACTGTGGCGAGCCTCCCAGGCTCTCCGAGCCGTCCATTCTAATTTATCCCGAATGTCTCGGATTTTGGGTCTCCGTGTCAATATCAAAAGAACTGTTTTCCTTTAAATTAGGACACCGACACACAATCACAACTAAATCACATTTGACTTTTTTTATACGATCGGTATCCGCTTGTTTTGTCCACTGTTCTTTGTTTTCTCTACCCATAGAAGTACACACATATGATAATAATGTTGAAAAAACGTTTCAATCAATAGACGATAAAAATCCCCTTATCCTAACGGGAAGTGGGTAACCTTGTCTTATCCTATCATGTGCCACATCCCTATTCCCATCCACCCAAAGCCCATCTGTGCTGGTCAACCACACACAATCAACTAATTATATCTACCAATCGAATTCTCATACGCATCAAGCGTTATACAAATTGCATTCGATGTTTGCCTATTCAGGAAAGTGTTTTAACCAGAAGACAAAGTTATTGACAAAGAGGTTGTTCACTATTTTTTTCTCAAACCAGAAGTGAACAAACATAAAAGAAACCTGTACAGAATAACCGGAATTCGTCATCTTAAAGCCTAGTATCAATCTACCCACGATTCGTTGAACAATTGACCAAATTATTTTTAACTCAACTATCTGTCAAAATCTGACCAATCCCATCTCCATTGCCTGTTAAGCGAAAAGAAGAAGCTGAAGAACCATCGGCACACTGTTTTTGGAGAAACCGGCATCATTATAACCACATGATTTCAATCACTGACAATATTAAAACGGAGATACTTTTCAATTTACAACCTATTTCATAACTACGCATGAACAGTATTTGGGGTGGGGGGTGATCATGATCATGGTCGTCGTCCATCTGCTACTGCGCGAATTTGGTCGCATAAAACAGTTTCCGCTAACCGGAAGTTGTTCGACAATTTCATTACCTCGATTAAGATATAAGCAGAACAGAGATGAGTGTCGATCCTGTTCAGAAGGTTGGTCATGCATCAGTATAGCAAATTAATAGTAAGAACTATGTCAAACTTTGGGTTAATCATTCGTTTTCGTTTCCATTGACTAAGTTATGATGTATCACAATGAACTACTCAATCCATGAGCGACATCCTTGTTGAGAATTAAGCTATAATGTCTCAAAAACAAAAGTTTGTAAATGGACAGTTCTATTCAAGTAGGTTTCGCTAGAAAAAACTCTGATCCTGATTCAGATGTATGGGTCAAATTAAGTTCTGGGAACCGATTTACACCCCGGAACCTGACGCCCAAAATTTCCGAGGTGAAGACCAAGTTATTCGTAAGAGGTATCTATTTTTCTATCAAGCGATACCTTGCTGAACTTTTTTGGTCAGGGAGTAAATCTTTCTGCATTGTGTCCTATATTCGATGGAACCCACATCACATAACAACCAGACATCCAAATCGAGTCTGTTACCAAAATACTCACCAGTGGTGGTAGAAATTCTTTCACTTGAAACAGCGATTCTTGATGCGGACGAATCTGCAAGACAAGTGAAAGAAGATTCGAGTTGGAGGAGATGCGATCAGCTGAAATCAGATTTTTACTTACGCGTCCCAGCGAATGTCCAACGTTTTTACAAAACACATAATCCTTCGGTAAAAATTGAAATCCCAATTGGTTTTCTATTTCTCGTCTGAATTCCGATAGCGTTTGGTTCAAATTGGGCCGGACAATGCCGGCAGACACAGTCTGTTTGAACAGATCCGAGAATGCCGTGTTTAAATCGTTGTTCCACAACAGCGGTGGGACGACATACACGTGAATGTCCGCAGTCACCGATTCCTCGACAGGGTCAGACATGATTTGAAAGGGGAACCAGTTTTGTTCAGATAACGCCTAATTAATCCGTCTGTTGGCAATCACGAGGTTCAAAATGAGGTGTGGGATAGAACTTTTTACTGTATATTCAGTATATGGCATCCTTTGCCGAGCAGTTATTTGCAAAGCCACAAGCTGTGCGACGCAAGAAAATTATTTTGATTGCAGCTTGAACAGACACCCACAAAGGTCAGACAGATGCACAAGTATGCACAAAAACGCTGCAGTTTGGTGCGTTTGAGGTCACAGCATCTATATTGAATGTGTTGTTTGAGACGGTATATGCGTGCTTGCGCGCAAGCGTGCGTCTGTGTGGTTGAGTGTCATTGTACGAGTTTGAACAATGGACGCTCGGTTGACTATCGATTTTCATCTTTACCGCTTCGATCAGTTCATATTGTTTTTCGTTGAAGACAAAGGTATTGGAAAGTTCAAAATCCTGGTGATAAGATGGATTGTTAATTACGGTGCACCTTATTTAGACACCCCCGATAATTTTCATTTTCAAGCTACCTATCTTCTACTCTTTGTTATTCAGTAGTCAGTGCTGGGCTGCAGTTAATGACTTCCCGAAATGGAGATATTTATTTCCAAAGAAGGTGGATCAGATTTCGCAAAAATGTTCACACAAATCATTTGTTCAAATTTAAGTAAGCAGGCCATAGTAAGCAGGCCAAGTTTTGAGAACAACTGTATTTTCCTTTTTCTTCCAATTTCGGTGAGGCCCTGAATTCTATCCTGTTTTAGTTGGACGCATGTGCATCTGCTCATTTTTATCCTTTTTACCTAAATTCACCTTTCCAGTTTCATGGTTTTGCATTGGCGCCATGCTTGCAATCAAGCATATATATATTGAATCATTGTATTTTACAGCTCTAACTGCTATGAAGAAAATCACCACGCCAGTTTATTCAAGGTTTAAATATGCACCGTCGTCCCCATCCCGTTTGATTCTCATCCTAGATTGTTATAGATGTATTTAGCATTTAGACTACTTCCCAACCACCGCTCCTAGGCTGTAGAACTTTCACTCTTGGACAAACTACTTGACCTCGACACACTCGTTACATATTAGGTAGCATATGGCCCATCTATCTTACAACTGGCAATATTTACACCTTTATTTATATGTTGCACCTCACGCCAACTTTATGAGCATTGACAACCTGGCACATCTCAGTTGATATTATATAACCCATGCCCCATAATTATCGGTATTCGAGCATCACTTCTGTTCTATTCCTTGATCCCCACCCTCTTGAGAAAACATTGGAACTACTTAGACAGCGCGGTACACTGTGACGACATGATACCAGCAAATGTGCCTCATGTCCGCGCTTGTTACCTGCGCCCCCTCCCTCCTCTGATCTAATTGATTACTGTTCAGTCCGCAGCAGTCTTCATGTCAAATGGTTTTATAGCGAAATGTTCGTTTCCTCAAATGCGATGGAAATGTCTGTGATAACCGACAAAGAGCACTGGACAGCTGTTTCGTCCTGTTTGGGACTCGTCAGCAGTGCGTACTTTTTCTGTCCGTGTCAGGATTCGAACCGCGAACGTTGGGGTTGGGACTTCAAACACTTTCCCCTGAGCTACACGGTCGAAGGTCATCATCTTTTGCGAATCGCTCAATCAATTTAGAGTATCAGTTGCTAGGTGCCTCTGGACAATCGAATGGGCTAATCCAAGCTTGATACTCTAAACTGTCCGCTTCCCCTAAACTCGCGATTGAGTCATTTCAGTTTGTTCTATTACATGTTTTGTGTTCTATGTCCCACTAATACGCGTCTGTACATTCATTACTGATAAGCAGTTGTAAACAGACTAAATGACCTTGATTGGTAGGTTTATCCCTCCAAGTACGTAACTGTCTTCAGTGTTCCATATTCTTTGGTCTGATGGGGCCTTAAGAGTAGCCTGACTCGACACCCCATTCCTTTCTGAGATATATTGGCTGCTTTCGGAGCCGGATTGCTCATAACTCCAATTAGGTTTTGAAAATTTGTATTCGTATATTAGTACACGTCAATTATCGGGCTCGTGTTCTGTTTGCCTGGACGTGAGGGATCGTTTTCTGTGAGTTGTTCTATCACTACACATCAATTCGGTACAGTAATAATTCACAAATGAATTGGTTAAGAAAGGCCAGTTTGAATTATATAGTGGTCCGTTTTTATGTCTAATTACACCACTACTGTTTTTGTTGCATTTTATCAAAGCTTTAGGGAGTTGAACACAGATGTTTAGCCAAAACAAGCGGCGGGGCAAAATGTTAATTGAACTACTACATTCATTAGGAAGCTCAGAACAAACACTCTCCTTGTCTGTCAGTTTCCGGGCAAGATAGGGTACAAAGAATTTTCCGTAGGCAGATANGATATCCGAGATGGGGTGAGTTTGTATTTGGGAAGGGGGAGAAGTGGGGCTTGAATGCATGTAGATCAATATGTAAAGGATGAATGCAATCAGATGAAATATGGCCAAAAAGCCAATCCCGCATCAATATGACCATCACAGATATTGCCTATCAGAACAGATAACGGAAATTGAGGAATACAGCTGTTCATTGACAAGCCACATCTCAGCAGCTTGAAATCGGCCTTCACCAAACCAGGGAAAATTACTGAGGAGCGGTAAAGGGGTGTAGAGAGAACATTTTGTTGAAAAAAGATCCTATCATCGACAAATCAGAACAGAGGTAGCGTAATCCTGTCATGTTAAAGGAGAGAATTTCCAGCTTGTGGGCAACAGTTTGGATATGTAAAGGCCAGCGCAGGTTGCTTTTAAGTGTGACACCTAAATACTTCACTCCTTTGGTTTCCCTGACTCTTTTCATTCTCGGAGGGAGATGAAGGAACGGTTTGAAGTAAAAATGCATTCAAGGCATTTTTCGGGATTAAGATTAAGACAGGATAAAGTGGATTACGTCACGAGGTGGGATACGTTTGTACTGCATGCTTCCGGTTCTGATAGGTTTGGATGCTAAAAGAGAGATGGCGATTTCATGAAAATACTTGCAATGTTGAACATGGCGTAGTAATGGGTAAGTCACTGATATAAGTCACAAAACGATAGGGCGATAGAACAGCACCTTGAAGTATACCCAAACTATTAATCATAAATTTTTCAACTTAGGAGGTCCGAATATCAATTTAAGATGTCACAGCATCAAAATAAGATGTCCATCGGAGAGTTCCACTTCGAAGGTCAATTTCCAGCCATCGCTGATGTTTTATCGTGGGTATCCCTTGTCGGTGGCTCTTTGTGGTTGTTTGCCAGGTGTAAGTAGAATTTGGCTCGTAATAAAACGTGATCCGTATCCACAGGTGTGGGCTAGTAAGAACCGCAGTCTTGAATCGACCCTCTCCAGCGGTAACTGATGGCGATATGGTCGATCTGGGTCTAGCTCAGAGAAAAGTGGCGGTTTTCATCTAAGGTGGTTTCGTTTGTTGGGCGAAAAGTTCGTGTTTGATAGGAACAATCCGTGGTCCACGCAGAGTTGAAGTAGGCGATCTCCGCTTTCCGTCCGGTTGGCTGGGATTGCATACGGTACGCCAAGAAGTCTTTCTGATTCGTCCAGGGATCCCACTTTGGTGTTGAAGTCTCCGGCGACTGCTACGATGTCCGGTGATCGAACGCTCTGGAGTAATTGAGAAGTTCCTTGTAGAATTCATCCTTGATTTCAGGTGTGCTGCAATCGGTTGGTGCATACACCGATACGACGAATTGTTGAACGATAATAGCAGTGGTACTTCTTATAGCACTGATGAAATTAGACAGGTAACTGTTCAGGGGTAATCGTAACAAACCAGCTTTCGTCCCTTCAAACGGGCTCAGCTAAAAGAACTTCGTGTCAATGATCCTGAGCGCCGACTAGAATTTTGCACACTTGGATGTGTAGTAAGCGGTTTTCACGGATAAAGCCATTTTTCATGTGAACAGAAATGTTACAAATTCTATTCGTTGAGCCGTTGGAAACCCAAGGCACTCTGTTGACTCAAAATCGCTTCCTAATCTCGAAGTGTTAGTATGTGCCAGTATTATACACGGTAAGATTATCGGACCGTGCTATTTTTAACGGAAACGTAACATGTAAGGACAGTTTTGCTTATTACATTGTTCAGGGGTCCTCATAACTGCAAATGTTTCAAAATAATGTGGTACCTGCTATCTGGCATATTGAAACTGAAGTTGGTAACACAGTTTGGTTCCAACATTTCGGTGCACCGCCGCATACTGCTCTGGTGTTGAGAAGTTTCCTCGATTCGGAATTTAACTGCTGACGGATTGTCCGAGGAGGACCAAAAGAATGGCCCCCAAGATCAACTTATGTGTCTCCCTTGGATTTCTTTCTGTGGGCATATATAAAGCAAATAGTTTGTTCCCAAAAACCGAGAACGATCGAGGAGTCCAAACAGAGTATCGTCGCGCGGTACGAACGTGTTCCAGCTGTTACTATTCTGAAGGTGGAAGAAAACTATCTTCACCGGATTTTGCTATGCAAGCAGTAGAATAGAAAACACATGGAACAACTTTTATAAAAGAAATAAACATCTTTCCATAATATTTGTTCTTTCTTTCCTTCGGAATTCTATCTCATCCATAGTTAGCAAGGTCGTTCAACGCGAAAAAGCCAGTTAGTTAAACACCAAGAAGAGTTTTGAGTTCATCTATATTAGTGGATATTGTAGTCCGTAAATAAGACAAGTTTTATTAAGATGATTAGCCGTTTACCGAACGGGCTTAGAAAAATGGTAAGTGTATATTAGACGAGTCAAACGTTGGCCCGTGTCGTCATCGCTTAAACTTTTTCCATTCCGAATTTCTTGCATGGCGCATCGTTCCACAATTGATTCCCCTGTGGTGATTTTCTACTAGCATTTAAGCAGCATCGAATTCAGTGCTTATCTGTCTCCTGTGCCGGCCCGAAGATTACACGACCGATCGGGTTAGTTTATCGATCGGTTGGATAGTCCAACCGCAACAAGGGTCCTGGTGCTTACCCAACTAACCCGAGCGAGAAACCACACCTTGTTTACAGCCGCCAGTCTTGGACAGGCCCAGTGAACTTCGACTGTACAGCAGGCGTGCCTTCACCACACGGATGGACTGCACACTTTGCAAGTCAAGTTGTCCCAATATCATATCAAGATGTCCTCGGATTATTCCAAGATGTCCGGGAATCATCTGGTCATTATTTCAAGATGTCCCATTATCATTTCAAGATGTCCTCGGATTAGTTCAAGTTTTCGCATTGACTTCACCGGTGCTGAAATGATTCCCGGACATCTTGAAATAATCCGGGGACATCTTGAAATGATACTGGGACAACTTGAAATAATCGCCAGACATCTTGAAATAATTATCGGTCAACTTGAAATGATTCCCGGACATCTTGATACGATACTGAGACAACTTGACTTGCAAAAGGTATAGATGTGACAACAAGAGCATCATAAGGTGTATAAGACAATGTGAAATGACGGGGCAATCGCACTATCCTACTATCCACAAAACAACATGACATCTTAAATTGATACTCGGACATCTTAAATTGAAAAAGGTATAGTCAATCGCGCACACCCCTTTAACGGATGCTCTACAGCTTCTCGACACCGTTGCGTACTGGAATTTATCTACCCAAATTGCTAAATATGAGTACTTCAACCATATACACAAAGGAATTCAAGTAAAAACTTGAGAATGTTGTTTTGAAAAACTATACTGCCATGTTTGTAGTGTCAGTTGCCAGTCGAACCCACAAATACTTTGTTCATTCAACATGACGGAATATCAACACCTTTTCTTAAACGTCTTCACCCTGAAAAGGAACATGCCTTTAAATGTGGCAGAAGGGCCGAAATGAAACGACTATTGTTTCTGGCCAAGAGTGACATAAGACCGTTGAACGCCCTTTATGCAAGTTAGTTTTTTGGGACCAGGAACCATAAATCTATGTGGCGTGGAACCAATCTACTCTGCGGGCAGAAGAAAGTGATTTCCAGTCCCTCAATTGATATTTGAAAATTGAATGCTTCACTTGTTCTTTCTTCGCCCGACACATACCCCAGTTATGTTGATTCCAGTTCTCCAAACATCCAACCTTCGTTTGATCCCATCACCTCTAGTGAGGTGTATAAACACGTGTTCTCTCAAGGTGTCAACCGCACCTGGTCCAGACAACCGAAGTCCTACCCTTCTTAAACACGGTGCTCTGTCACTGTCTCAGACTTTTGCACACATAGCTAATCTTTCACTTAAGCTCCGAACTACTGCAGATCGTTGGCGCCCAGTGAGAATTACTCCCATCCCCAAAGTAACATCAAAGGCCCCAATGGTGAGGCGTTTCAGACCAATTACTCTCACTTCCACCCGTTATAAGTACAAACTTATCCCGTCTCGCATATCCACATACAGAAGCTCTTTGGTACCCTATCTTGCCCGGATAATGACCGACAAGGGAAGTGTTCGCTCCGAGTTTTCTAATGCATTTAGTAATTAACTCATAATTTTTGTATGTTTCACATTCCACTTTTTCACCTGTTTTTACCAGAATTGTAACGGTTGTCTATTTTTGGCTGAAAGCTTATATATAACTTGCTAAAGCTTCAATCCAATACAGTACCATACGATACCGGCGACTGTTTCCTTCCCAAGTTAATATGCTGATATCTTTGCGAAAAGTAATCAACAAACCATTCAAGGACAGAGAAGGGACAGCCAAACGATTGGAGCTTATTGAATAAAAGAGAAAGGTATATCGCGAGAAAAGTGGGAGAATAATTAAGAAATGCATAGTGCACATATTTGGCTTTCTCGTTTAAGGACTTGCAGATGCAGTAAACAAAAGAAAAGAAACGATATCCAGTATTCAGCTGTTATGTTTGTATGCAAACTGATAAGTATCATCGGGGGTGGTGAGAGATAACTGAAGGCGATGCAGAACTGACCAGTTCATCAATTTCAAATCAGTAGAAATTGAAATCACTTGATTTGAAACGTTTCGTAATTTGGGCCTTTGTCTTTCCTTTAGGGCTGAGTGTAACTCTCGCCAACAATCCGGAATAGTTCGGAGCTCGAGTGAAAGATTATCTGTATGCAAAATGTGAGACATTGGCACAGTACCGTATTGAAGAAGTGTAGAACTTAAGGTGTCTGGACCAGGTACGTTCGATACCTTGAGAGAACGCATGTGTTTATACATCTCACTAGAGGTGACGAGTTCAAGCGAAGACGGAATGTTTGGAGAACTCAAGTCAATATAACTGGGGCGTTTCAGACCCGGAATGAATAAATGTAGCATTCAGTTGTTCAATATCAATAGAAGGCCTGGAAATCAGTTTCCTCTACTCGTAGAGTGGCTTGATTCCATACCGCATATATTTATAGTTCCTGGTCCCAAAAAACTAACTTGCTTAAAGGGTATCCCACCGTCTTTTTCCACTCTTGAGCATAAAATATAGTCGTTTAATTTCAGCCCTTATGCCACATTTAAAAGCATGTTCCTTTTCACGAACAAGACGTTCAATAAAAGTGTTGATATACTGTCATGTTGAAGGAACAACGTTATCACAGGACAGCACATGTCAAAAACACGGTTTAACACATCTGCTGGAAATGTCATATTGGACAACCAGGTTATGTTTAAAGGAAAAGACTCAGTAGATACTTTGAGACTCTCTTAGTACAGCAATATTGTCTGGAGAAAGATTTCGCTGACGGAAGATGATGTGTTCAGATCGAATAAAGGAAAAAGTATCCTGAGTGTGAGCAAATCTTAGGTCTAAGCGGATCACGTTGTGATCACCGGTGCCTAAGGTGGAAAAATGCTTGTTAAAAAGTGCGTGCGCGTGAATAGTGATTATGTGGCCTAGATGAGACGTTCCTATAGTTGATTCAATCATAAGGTCACTGAGGTTAAGGCAGAATAAAAGTACAGGGGTGTGTGGTTAAAGTCACCAGCCATTAGGTACAAGCTGTCAGCAAGAGATGGGGCAATGACCAGTAGGAAATAATCATAAAACGTGTCAATGTCTGATAACCTACAATCGGGTATAATGTATAAATTAGTGATGGCGATAAAAGGAAGACGGGAAATTTAGGATGACAGACCACGGTTAAGCAATCAATGTCATTTGTTGATTACTTCAAAAGTACTTCGAACTCGCCATGCCACTTGGAGATGATGTAGGTAATAACACCGCCCCCTTCCACCATCCCGTTCTTCTTGCATTGTTGTCTATTCTGTCTGAAGCAGACGAAATTGTCCAGTTGGACCACGGAATCATCCGCATCAACATTCAACCATGACCCCGGAAAACACAAAACATAAGAAATGCGAAATTCTTTTCGCATGAGCAGATACGATAAATCCGGACGCTTCCCAATCACAGAACGGACACAATTGCAGGTACAGTTATCTTGCTGGGAGTAGTGCAACCGAGAGCGGTTAGCCAACCGGCCCGAATGATTTTTTCGCGTTTGGAGTATTTGTGCGGTTGACCAGAGCGACTGGCACTACAAACTACGCAGCACAACTTTTCATCAAAACATACTTAATTTTTAACATGAATTCTTTCTTGTACTTGGGTAAAGCACGCATGCTGAGGAATGTGGTCGATAAATTCCAGAATGCAAAGGTCGCGACAAATTCTCAGTAACTATTGGAACTACCTTGTTCTTTTTTGATCAACACGAAACATTTTCAACATCCGTTTCATGTTCAGTGCGCAGATCCTCCCGGAAAGAGGTGGCTGTTAGAGCAAGTGTTTCGGTTCGAGATCCGGAGGGTGGTCAATCGAGCCACGCCAAATAAACTAGATCTAAGGTGAATACGTCGTGTGTATAGCAATTGAAGCGTGAACTGAAAAGCTAGGAAGCACTGGACAGCTGTTTCGACCTGGTTGGGTCTCATCAGCAGTGCGAATCCATCGACTCAACCGGGGATCGAACCCGGGACCTCACAGGCAGAACGCAAGCGTACTACCCACTCGGCAACCGGGCAGCTGGTTAGACCGTTTTTTGTTTTCCATTCACACGATACTCAGTTGGGGCGATGGATTCACACTGCTGATGAGATCCAACCAGGTCGAAACAGCTGTCCAGTGCTTCTTAGCTTTTCAGTTCACGCTTCATTTTCTATATACACGAAGAATTTTCACTTTAAAATTGAACCAAACCCCCATTACTCACTTGAAATTAGATCTACCGAATGTGTTTGAACAACAACAACAATAATAATAATAAAGGAACCCTGACTATTGTATGCGAACCTGTATGAAATCACAAAAAATGCCGTTTCCTGTACGTATCCACCGCTTTACTGTGCCAAGTAATATCCGAAATTATCTCGAAAGGAATTTGAGATTTTTCAGCGAAACAAAGAGGTTTACAATCACCCCAAAACAAAGTTAGTTTACCTTCATGTGGTAGGCAACAAGTTTTCTCTCTTCGAGCGAATTCATACCGTTGGACTAGGTGACCTCTGTATTTCATTGATTTCCCGGGCAAGAGACACTGCTGAAAGCAAAATGTAAAACTAGGATAGGCATTATGTCACAATCAGAGAATATCTATGCTGTCCATGCATGTAAATATGCAACGAATTGCTGTAGGATCGCTTTCCTATTTGGTCAATACGGTGGCAACCTTTGGATTCATTGGTTTTCCTTCCGGAGATGAAACTGTGCATTTAACTGACTAAATCAATTACTCAAATGGTAATAATGCTATTGCTACTTATGAGAAAGGAGTTGGGATGTCATACGTTCTTGATAGATCCAACGCAAAATCCGATATATCCAAATGAATTGCACTGCAAACGCCAACCTTGATGAGGTCCAAAAACCGCTAAAAATAAAGTCATTCTATCGTATATATGCTTTTCGTAATTTTGAAGTTCCACCGAAATAGTTACATGGCAATATCCAGTAAATAACCTTTTCCTATTGAAAATTTAAACTTCTATCAGAGCTACTCCCGTAGAAAACACATACTTCCTGTGCATGTATGCACCCTGTCGCCAACAGGGTAAAATTCCACAAGCCATTTATTCATTCTTTAGGTAAGTGTAGAATAAACAACTGGATATTTTTTCGTCCGGAATGTCACCGTATGTCGTCGAAAGACTGGAGCTACATTGTACAGTTATTCCACTCCGTTGAAAAGCGTTAGTAGGACATATCCGACGTGTTTGTGATGCCTCAAACCCGGAGTAATATGGCTGGCCGTCTCTTGTCGACACAAGTCCATGAAGGTGGATTTCAGGGGGTGACGTAGTCACATAATACTGTGAAAATCCGTTTCAGTTTTAAAATACACAGAGATCGGCTCCTTGATCACTGTCTTCTCAGCATCAGATTTTAGTGCAACATCACCGAATCATTTTTATCGGCAGCTCAAAGGTCCCGCTTTAAATTAACTTATCTGATTGAATCGGGTAGTGATCTATAGCTGGA